ATCCCGCCTGTGATGTGATCGGGTCTGCTGGAAATAAACAAACCTGAGTCATAGTATCCATTAACGGTAGCATACGGCTCATGACCTCCAGATCTCTAATAAACGAGGGGACTATCTGTATTGGGTGATACCCTTTTTTGCTTGAGCCCGACCGGGTTGGGTCCGCTCCGGAGCAAGTCGGGGCCATCGAACCCGACCTGGATGCAAGGTAGAACGACGGCCACGTCTACAACCGAGGTCGAGTCATTTCGAGACCGTTACAGAGCTCGATATGAGTCACCACCGGATGGAGAAACACACAAGGTCGGAAGCCGGACTCGTAACGGATAACCAAGCGTCGCCGGATATCTCGCCCAAACGTGATTTTCTCAACCACTTCAGGCCATTAAGGCGTAATTACAGGGATCCACGATGTAATCAATTGACCTACCTTATTTTTACCCTTAATCAGAATGTATAAAAGGGGATCTCTCTAAATTCTTGTAGGAAAAAGCACAATCGTTCTAAGCAATATTATATTCTGCGATTATTTACTTTAACAGCAATTGTTGAGTCTTTATCTTTATTTTCCTCAACCTAAACCTTTTGTATCTTTTAGTTCACGGATCCTTAAAACCCCATATAAATTCAATTGTTATCCGGATTTGAGGGTAAACAACGGTTTTTTTTTTTTTTTTTTTTGAAAGAAAATCAAACTTTCTTCTTCTTTGGTTCCGTTTACCAATAGCATAAAAGAGACAAAAAAGCAATATCATTGAGAAATATAATAATGAGCTGACTATTTTGACTATCGCACAGTTCCACATGCTCTCGACAATCTGATTGGTTGGTGAAAATGTTAGGTACTATATACTATAACGGTTATCTTCTTGGTGTCGTAGAAACAAAGAAAATGAAAATAGTGCAATTTTATTATGACAACTATGTGAATCCTTGTTTTGTTAGGCAAGCACTTCTATAATGAAGTATCTTCTCTTTTAGTAGCCATGCTAAACATGCTTGTTCCAACAGGGGTTAATGGGGACCTCCATTTCACCTTCTTCTGGGTCGTTGGGACCATGGGACAAAGCAAAATATTTTTGGGATATAATATGAGATTATTTAATTTCATATTTTGATTGAAGTTTTATTTAGTATAAATAATTTCATAATTAATTATATTAGAATTAAGTTATTTTTATATCATATCCTATGTGAGATAACAATACCAAAATTAGCTATTTCAGGATAAAGCAATCAAATACATAAATATATTTTTTCATAGCTCTTCATTAAAAGTCCTTTAAGAAAATTAAAAATAAAAGTGTATTCCAATTTATCCATTGTAAAAATAAACACATGTTTTGTATTATACTTGGTATATCTCATTTTAACCTAATAAATCAAATATCTATGAAAAGGTATATTTATTAAATAATTTTATTATAATTTAATTATGTATTATAATCTCATATAATAATGTTGATATAACTTTTTGCGAACCTAACAATTGAGGTCCAGTTAAGTGCTTACTAAATTAACTTTGGAATTGAATTGGGCTATAGAGTAAAATTATTTGTTGATACTTCAATGATATATCTTAATATTTAATTTAATAAAATTTTGAGATTCTATTAGTACAAAGTCAAAGCTGCTCTCTTTGTCAATTGTCCAATAGTCATAACTCATAACCCAACTAATTTTTTTAGCAATAAGTTTCTCTTAACTTTAAAAAACAATCTTTTTCCCACTTTTTAATCCCTTCTTTTACAAAAGCTTTTCGGATAAGGGTAATGTGAATCGGGAGAAATAGCATTATGTTTTCTTCGGTTATACTTTTACTAGCAATTTGTAACTGTATATTCTAACTTAAATTTCATAACTAATAGTCCTAGCAAGTACCAGTGGCGGAGCTAGGATCTTCGAAGGGGGTTCAAAATTTTTTTTTTGTAGCTAGTGGGAATAGAACCCATGACCTTATGTAAATTTTAAAACCCCTTTACCACTAAACTACACTTTTGTATTGTTTTAAGGGTGTTCAAAACTTAATATATAGAGGTAAAAAAATAGATTTTGTCTTATATATACAGTGTAATTTTACGGCGAAGGGTGTTCGGGTGAACACCCTTGCGCCCCCCTAAATCCGCCTCTGGCAAGTACTCCATCTTTTCATTTTTATTTATCTAAAATGAACTTTGCACTCCTCTTAAAAAATAATAAATGAAGTATGTTTTTCACCACGATACTCATCATAATGATAGTATTTCAAAAAGTCTTAAAAATTAATTTGATGAATGAGTAGTTACTGATAATAATAAATGAGAAAAAAATATATTTTCTCTTGATTTGTTATAAATGAATAAGTAAAAATAAAAATATATTATTAATATAGTGGATAAGTAAAAGTGAATGAAGGGATTGAGAACATCCTCTTTACCTCAAATACAGGGGCAGAAATCAGAGCAATCACCAAAGGCCTTCAGTTGGCGGAACAACACAACCTACTGCCTCTGGAAATAAATACTGACTCCGCTAAAACAATTAATATGCTGATTAATGGCAATCTTATATTTGACCCTTTAATTTGTGAATGCAGGTCATTGATCCAAAGGATGGGCAGAGTGGAAGTGAAACATACCTACAGGGAGCAAAACAGGGTAGCTGACGTTCTAGCTAAGAAATCAGCAGAAGAATTTTTTTTGTGTAAATCTCTAATTCTAGCAGTTCCTCCAGTGTTTGCCAATGATGTTTTTCGGGCAGACATCCTAGGAACTGAACTACCTAGATTATTTTTGGTTATATTTAAGTCTATTATGCAAACTATGCATCAAGTGGGGCAACTAAACTACCCCGTAGNTAAGTACTATTATGCAAAACTATGCATCAATGGGGGCACTAAAATACCCCAGTAACTGCCAAAGCTGTGTAAGGTTGGAAACTTTCAGTTAACATATTTATATATATCATCCTTTGCACCAAAAATAAAAAATAAAAAATGAAGGGATTGACAATTTTTTTTTTCCTTGGAACAAACATTGCATACCTTCTTTTATCATACTTGGACCCTCTATTAGAAAATATTTGCACTTAAACCACTCATTTCTCTCAGTAAAACACCAAAAAGAATTCACACCGTCCATAATGAGTCCAGATCTTAGGTTCAAACATTCGCAAGAGTTAAAAATATTATACTAGTCTTAACAGATAGAGTTAGAACTTATTTGTTTGCACTTAATGGAGGTTTGGATCTTAATCATTTAGATCTCAGATATTAAGTGCGTTTATTTTTTTTACTTAACAACTACTTAATGGGTCTGAATAGGTCTGTATGATTAAGATCTGTAATAGAGACTTAATTTCATTAAGATGCTATCACATATTCATTATTAACTGCCGCCACCGCCTACCATTATGAACTACCACCATGCCGCCACCACTACCACCATACTCAGCCACCACTACCACCACCACCACCACCTCCACCACCACGCCACCATCATCCTCAATCATAGCCGCCACCATTATCGAACATCACCATCCCACCACTCCGACCACCATCATTCTCACCCACGGTCAACACTTATCCACCTCAACTACCACAACCAACCACCCCATCACCATTAACAACCACGGCCGGCACCACCCATCATTATAACCTACCACCGCCTTCCTCAATCACAAACCACCACCCGCCATTATTAACTATCACCACCCACCACCACCATCATCAATCATAATTGCCACCACTACCAATCACTACTAGCTACTAGCATGAACCACCATCATCAACCAAAACTATCACCGACCACCGCCTTTAGTCAGCATTCACCCGTTAGCCATCACCATCAACAACTATCTTATTTTAAAAAACTATATATTTTATTGATAGAATATTAGATTTTTTTCAAATAAAGATAAATTTTATGCATTCAGATGTAAAAAATTAAACAGCCTTAATTTTTAGTATTCAGATCTTAATACACATCTTAATATATTTAGATATGTATTCAGATTCAGATATCTTAATCTTAATACACATCTTCATATTCTGATGTGTATCCAGATCCAGACGTCTTAATCTTAAAAAAAAAACAAATGAGGCCTTAGTGCACTTAAACATGCTCAACACTATAATAATAATAATAAAACTTTAGGCCCTCTATTAGGAAAGATTTACAGTAAAACCGCTCATGGTTTCACCGTAAAAACATTAAGGGGTCGTTTGGTACAGTTGATAAGCAAAAATAATTCTGTGATAAAAATTTAGTACCACTGTATCCCTTGTTTGATTACTAATCCTGAGATAAGTTATCCATGATTAAAAATAGTCCAGGATAACCTATACATGCTAAAGGGTGGAATAGTAATTCCAAAATAAGTATCCCATGATAAAACATTAAAATTGATAATTCTAAAATTAATATAACATACCAAATATGCAATAAAAAAATAATATCATTATAAATAATCTCAACATAATTATTCTCTTTTTTTTGGGTTTTCATCCTGTGTCCGATACCCATGTTGGAGCCCGATTAAATCCGGATTGGCGCCGGAAAGTCCAGCCCTAACAAAGGCAACTCCATACTCAAACTCAAGACCATTAAGGATGAAGGACTACTTAGCACTCCACCACAACCTTTGTTGGTTCAACATAACTAATCCTCCCCTAAATACCTTCCCCAGCCCAACCATGTATCTCTATCAAAAAGTAGCTCCAGGACTCAAAGGAGAAACGCAACTCAGTGGGGTCCACTTCCAAAGTTACACTTTGTTGAGACAGAAAAAAGAGAAGACAATGAAATAATTGTAAAAAGGTACAGAGATAGAGCTTTGTTTTTTTTTACCTAAAGTTCTCTTCATAATAATAGCTGTACCTATTACAGTGGAAAAGTCAATAAAGGAGGAAGAAGCTTCTTTTTAAGATTTTCTTTGATTCAAAAGTACATATATTCTGCTTCTTCACATTTTCAAAGCCCTATAGTTTGGTTCTTCTTTAAAGGTACTTTCCCCATTTCCTCCTCCTTATTCTTGTTGTTGTTTAAATTCTTTTTATTTTTACTTTTAATTCAAAAGATTAGCCTTTTATCCTTTTACTTGTCTAGGAATACTAAGAAATGGTGTTCTATGGTGGTTTCCTTATGTAACTCTGAATTAACAATGAAAATTCAATTTGTTGTAAGGAAAAGTTAGTAATGGAATTGTGAATTTGTTCTTGATTTCGTCATATAGTCTAATTTTTTGTTTTTGTGTGTGGTGTATTAGACTGAAAAGGGAGTTGGGTTCTGCTTGAAATTTTGGGTAAACGTGTTTGTGCGTGTGTTTGAATTAGTACTTATTTATTTACTATTTTCAATGCATTTGGTGTAACTGAGTTGAAGCTGATTTTAAATTAATTCGTAATCTTTCTTGCTTCATTAGATTTCTTAAAGAAAAAACTCATTTTTTTTTAATCTCAAACATTTACCAATTGCCTAAGCTTTTAAAACGAGTAATATCTCATTTGCTATACTTTGAGGAAAGAAAGACTTATGGAGCAGCGCTTCGTTAGCTTCATCTGATGAATTTTTTGCCTTCCTAGCGATCTGTACATGTCCGATGTGCAAGTAAGGAAGTGCTTCTCACAGTGATAAATCACAACCACTAAGTTTCTTGGAATTATTGAAATGTTTAGTAGAAAGGACTAATGTTTTGGTTAGTATACTGATTTAGCCTCCTGCATCATTGCCTGCTGTAACACCTACTGCTATTAGGAATCTGAGGATCAGGTTGTTTTCCTTTTGTATCTAATAAGCTTAAATGTTGCCTTTCAGCTTTTACCGGTTTTTCCTTATTAACCTTTGATGTTTTATAGGCACCTGTTCATGGAAGATGGTGTCTTATGTCGCAGTGGTAAATTGCAACAACGGTACTTGACATGAAGTGCAATATTTGAAAGATGGAACTGTTCTTTGCAATTGTGATATTAGCATGTCTCCACTCATTCGCCTTACCTGATGGACAAGGTACATGATTCTTCCATTTTTACTTCATCATCTTTTATATACTCAAATGGATCAAGAGAAATTCAGATGGAACTAATATATCTTATTTCATTTTCTTGCTTATGTTCTGTTTACATTTTGCTTCTGCCGATGGAATGTTTTCTTTGTTTTCCTAATAAAGTAGTGTGACATTCAGTTCTTTGTGATCTCTGGCCCATTTTAGGAGATGCCCTGTTTGCACTGAAGAATTCACTTAATGCTTCAAATGATCAGCTTGCTGATTGGAATCAGAATCAAGTTAGTCCTTGCATTTGGTCCAAAATTACTTGTGATGAAAAAGGCAATGTCATCATGGTGTAAGTTCTATTGTTTGAGCCATTAGAATCGCCTTGTGAATAGTAGTATCATTTTATAGTTTTTATGTTTTAGAAAGGTTGATCTTTGGTTGCCCAACTTCCTTTCCTGGATATGATTTTTTATAGTGTCTGATTTTTGTTTGCAGGTCATTGTCAAATATGGGATTCTCGGGCACTTTAACTCCCAGATTAGGTGTTCTAAAGAATGTGAATACATTGTATGTATAAAGAACTGCAGTTGATTTATTGTTGACAGAATGTTGGCTTGAATTCTAAGCACATATAATTTTGTAGATGCTATTTGTTGCTATTTTGAAAATATTTTATATTCAATATTGTTTCTAAATGTATTTGTTCGATGTCATCGGCATTGCAGAAGAACAAAATTCCCTTATGATAATCTGATGTACTTTTGAGGTTTTGCACCTCTCAAGCACAAAGAAGATAAAAAAACAAAAGCACCCCCCTAAAGTTTTTCACAAAACTAGAGAAAGCGTTCTTCAAACTCACGTTAGAAGAATGTAAGATGAAAAGAAACCTCACCCACATGTTCCTCAATCCCGTAAGATTGCAAGAAACGTTGAATAAACAAAGAAGAAGAAACGAAAGAGTCAATCACGTGTTTGAAGCTAATGCTCAAAGAAATTATTCACCCCCTTCTTTATTTTCAGCATATTGAGCCCTTCAAATAGGCCTTACCATGAGTATCATTGATAAGGTTAAGGAAAATTAATCTTAATTAAACTAGAATAAGAATAAGGCTTACCAACTAACAATCCTAGTTTGTCTAGAGCTACAAATATAATCCTAGAAGGGTAGCCTTGGCGTAACTGGTAAAGTTGCTTCCATGTGACCAGGAGGTCATGGGTTCAAGCCGTGGAAACAACCTCTTGCAGAAATGCAGGGCAAGGATGTGTACAATAGACCCTTGTGGTCCGACCCTTCCCCAGACCCGGCACATAGTGGGAGCTTTAGTGCACCGGGCTGCCCTTTTACAAATATAATCCTAGTAAAACAAGAATTAAATTACTAGGAAATTAGAAATAAAAAATCCTAATCTTTAAGAAAAAGAAATCCTAATCTTGAATGAATTCTTGGCTTCTTGAATTTCTTGGTTTCTTGTCCTTCTTGATCTTGCATCATAATCAATTTTAACTAAAAGTTGACGGCATAGATGAACAATAATTTCAAGATAGCTTTACTTATCGGAAGGGAAAAAAAGAAAGACAAAAGGTTACCTACATATTGTGGTGTTAATCAATGGAGAAGGAGAAATATTTGGCCATTTTACAGTGGGAAACAGCTTTATAGAGAGGTGGAAGTTATTTGAACTGGTCTAGCAAATGGGACTCTCTATTCGGATGGCTGTCTTTCTTCTTGTGGTAACTAGTTGGTGTCTTTACTTTAACAAGGTCTCTATACTTCGACTGCTGGTTCCTTTGGACAAGGAGCAACCTCAGCCATTTCACAAAGACAAGGAATGTGAACTATACAAAGCTGATCCTCAGTATGGGTGGCTTTGCCTTTTGCTCTGAGCGGGCGTTCTTTCAAATTGTCTTTGCACTTTGGCTGCTTCCAAGAGCCCCATTTTAGTATTTGACTTGTATATTTTTCAACTCAATAAGTTAATCGTGTAACTATATGGAAGGACACGTTTGTATAAGATGTGGCTTTTGCACATAAGGGTGTGGCCTAGTGGTCAATGAAGTGGGTGAGAACCATGAGGTCTCAGGTTCAAATCCCAGCGGAGGTAAAAAAGCACTAGGTGATTTCTTCCCATCTATCCAAGCCATAGTGGATAGAGTTACCTGGTACCTGGTGCTGGTGTGAGGTGGCAGGTATCCCGTGGTCGAGGTGCGCGCAAGCTGGCCCGGATACCACGATTATAAAAAAAAAAGATGTAGCTCTTGTTTAATTTTCATTGGTGAATATGTTGTTGAGCTCAATATTGTTAGATCCACGACTAGAATATTTGGGACAATTCCTCTGCTATAACCTAGCTGGCTGTGTCGTGTACACCCCTGCAGGTCTTTGCAAGGAAATGGTATAACTGGTAAGATTCCAGAAGCGATAGGAAATTTAACAAGCTTGACAATGTTAAATTTAGAGAATAACCGTCTGTCCGGAGAAATACCAGCTTCCCTGGGAAATCTCAAAAAGCTTCAGTCTCTGTAAGTCATATTATTTCATTTGGTTGTTGTTGGATAGAACATAGTTTAATTGGTGTCTTGGAATAGGAATGAACTCTCTTTTTATTTTTATTTTTTATTGAGCAGGTTTTTGACTCAAAACAATCTCACAGGGACAATCCCTCAGTCAGTTTCAAGCCTCCCAAACTTGATGAACCTGTAAGTGATTTATCTTTACTTCTTCACTCCATGTATAGAGTGATGCTTTTATTTTGGGATGTCAATTAACAACTTCAGTGATCCTTAGCCTGTATCATTCAAAGCTTCACTTGCTTCACTGATTTGCTTTGCAGTCAGCTTGCTTCCAATGGTCTTACTGGTCAAGTTCCTGAACAGTTGTTTCAAGTTCCAAAATACAAGTATGCATACCTTGTAGTAATAAAAATGGCACCTAATACTATGTGATTGCAGTTTTTACTTTGAACAGTCGATCAAGGCTGCTTAGTTACTGCCTTGTCTACTAATTCATTATCTTTAATTTATGTTTAACATAATTTGGTTATTCTAGTTTTACAGGGAATCGTTTGAATTGTGGCTTAAATTTCAGTCATCATTGTGAATCTGATAGTGGAGGTAAATTCTACGATCAAATATGTCACTGTTTCATTTGACTTACTAGTCTTACATATAGAAATTAGCTCTGCTGGAGATGTTTGTTAGTCAGATATATATGCTTTATGCTTCTTTGCTTTCTGGAGGATGAAAGACGTGGCTGAAAAATGTAGCATTTTACTCCCATTATCTGTGGTTTTACTTTCATTTATCTTTTATCTAGTCATAAGGCTTTATCTACTAGTTTCGTTACCTTTTTCAAAAAAAAAAAAAAAGGCTTTATCTACTAGTTTAGAATTTGTCTCATCTTTGTTAGAGAAGAACCTTTAGTACTTCCAAGAGTAGTTTAGAATTTGTCTCATCTTTGTTACAGAAGAACCTTTAGTACTTTTGTGAGAAAGCACGGGAGAAAATATTATTAATTATCTAAAGTGTTGTACAACGCCCTATTTATATAAACCTTTACCTTATCAAAAAAAAAAAAATACAACGCCCTATTTATATACAACGATTACATAATAATAGATATCTACTTCCCGATGTGGGACACTATACGTGACTAACTACTTAACACTCCCCATCAAGCCGGTGCATATATTTGCTAGCTGATCATTCGACTTCGCAAACTTTGTAACAATATCTCCTGAGAGTATCTTTCTCTGACAAAGTGACAGTTGATCTCAATGTGTTTAGTCCTCTCATGGAACTGGATTTGACGCAATATGAAGAGCTGCTTGATTATCACACACCAGTTCCATCTTGCTGATTTCTCTGAACTTCAACTCCTTGAGCAACTGCTTGACCCAAACTAGCACACACGTTGCGATAGCCATGGCCCGATATTCAGCTTCGGTGCTAGATCGAGCAACTACATTTTGTTTCTTGCTCTTCCAAGAGACCAAATTACGTCCTGCTAGAACACAATATCCAGACGTAGAACGTCTATCAGAAGGTGATCCTGTCCAATCAACATCTGTGTACCCAACAATCTGCTCGTGGCCTCGATCCTCGAATAGTAATTCTTTGCCTGGAGCTGACTTTATATACCGAAGAATGCGAACAACTGCATCCCAGTGACTATCATAAGAGAATCCATAAACTGACTTACAACACTCACCGGAAAAGAAATGTCAGGTCTAGTCACTGTGAGGTAATTCAATTTGCCAACCGACCTCCTATATCTCGTAGGATCGCTAAGAGGCTCCCCCTGTCTTGGCAGAAGCTTAGCATTTGGATCCATAGGAGTGTCAACAGGTCTGCAACCCATCATTCCAGTCTCCTCAAGAATGTCTAAGGCATACTTCCTCTATGAAATAACAATACTTGAGCTAGACTGAGCGACCTCAATACTTAGAAAATACTTCAATCTGCCCAGATCCTTAGTCTGGAAGTGCTGAAAGAGATGATGCTTCAGACTAGTAATACCATCCTGATCATTGCCAGTAATAACAATATTATCAACATAAACCACCAGTAAATACACAGATTAGGAGCATAATGCTGATAAAACATAGAGTGATCAGCTTCACTCCGGGTCATGCCGAACTCCTGAATAACTGTGCTGAAGTTACCAAACCAAGCTCGAGGGGACTGCTTCAAACCATATAGTGACCTGCGTAATCGGCATACAAGACCACTAGACTCCATCTGAGCAACAAAACCAGGTGGTTGCTCCATATAACTTCTTCTACAAGATCACCATGGAGAAAAACATTCTTAATGTCTAACTGATAAAGAGGCCAATAACGTACAACAACCATGGACAAAAAGAGACGAACATATGCTATTTTAGCCACGAGAGAGAAAGTGTTACTATAATCAAGCCCAAAAATCTGAGTGTATCCTTTTGCAACAAGATGAGCCTTAAGCTGATCAACCTGGTCATCCGGGCCGACTTTGACTGAATAAACCCAACGACAACCAACACTAGACTTACCTGAAGGAATAGGAACAAGCTCCCAAGTGCCACTTGCATGTAAAGCAGACATCTCCTCAATCATAGCCTGTCGCCATCCTGGATGAGATAGCGCCTCACCTGTAGACTTAGGGATAGAAACAATGGACAAAGTTGATATAAAAACATAATGAGGTGATGACAGACGATGATAACTTAAACCGACATAATGGGGATTAAGAATTATGGATCGTACACCTTTGTGGTGTGCAATTGGTTGACTAAGAGGAGACAAGTCCGCAGTAGGTGCAGAATCTGATGCAGGACGTGAATCACCTGGGCCTGATGCTGGACATGGACGACGATGATAAGTCAAGAGTGGTGGAGCTGCAGAAGGTTGAACTGGACTAGGTGGTGGAACTGGAGCTATAGGTGGTGGAGCTGCAACTGGAGCTGTAGGTGGTGGAGCTAGATAGAAGAAGATGAATGAGAGATAGTGACTGAATCTCCAAAAGATGAAGCTAGTAGCACCTCAAAAATATCTAAGTGATTACTTGGACCTGTGAAGTATGATTGGGTTTCAAAGAAGGTAAAATCAGCGGACATAAGGTACCGCTGGAGGTCAGGAGAATAGCATCGATACCCTTTTCGCGTTCTCGAGTAACCCAGAAATACGCACTTAAGAGCACGAGGAGCTAACTTATCTTTGCTTGGAGTAAGGTTATGAACAAAACACGTGTTTCCAAAGACACGGGGTGGAAGAGAGAACAAAGGTAAGTAGGAAAATAGGATAGAGAATGGAACTTGATTCTGGATAGCCGAAGATGGTATACGATTAATAAGATAGCAAAATGTAAGAATCGCATCCCCCCAAAAACGCAACGGAACATGAGATTGTATGAGTAGGGTACGAGCAATTTCAATAAGATGTCTGTTCTTTCTTTCAGCTACCCTATTTTGTTGAGATGTGTATGGACAAGATGTTTGATGAATAATCCCATGAGAGTTCATAAAGTGCTGAAATGAGGAAGACAAATATTCTAGGGCATTATCATTATGAAATGTGCGGATAGAAACCCCAAATTGATTTTGAATTTCAGCGTGGAAGGTCTGGAAAATAGAAAATAACTCAGATCGATTTTTCATCAAAAATATCCAAGTGCACCTGGAATAATTATCAATGAAACTGACAAAGTAGCGGAACACCAAGGTAGAGCTGACTCGACTAGGATCCCAAACATCTGAATGGACTAAAGTAAAAGATGACTCTACTCGATTATCAAGACGCTGAGGGAAATGGGAGCGGGTATGCTTACCGAGTTGACATGACTTCATACTCTAAAGTGGACAAGTGAGATAAACCAGGTACCATTTTCTGAAGTTTTGACAAACTGGGATGTCCCAACCGTTTATGTAATAAATCTGGTGAATCAGTAACATGACAAGTTGGTGAAGGAAGACAAGATGTGAGTCCATGTGATTTAGCAAGGATAACGTAATAAAGTCCATTTGATTCACGCACGGTACCAATGCGTTCCTGTATAAAAACAAGGTCATCAAGAAATAAAACAACGGATTTAAGTGATTTGGCTAAGCGACTAACATCTATGAGATTAAAAGCACTACTGGGAATATAAAGAACTGAATCTGGAGGTAAAGAAGGAAGTTGGCTTGCTTAACCTATTGCAGTTGCCATGGTTTGAGACCCATTAGCCATTGTGACTGTTGGAAGAGATTGAGAATACGAAATAGTAATGAAAAGAGATTTGTTACCAGAAATGTGATTCGCTGCACCTGAATCAATGACCCAAGACTCAGAGGATGAAGATTGGGAGACACAAGTCACGCTATTACCTGTTTGAACAACAAAAGCTATCTCAGAAGGATGTCTGCTTACATGCTTTGTACTGAAGGAACTCAATATAATCCGCTATGAAACCATCCAACCATTCAAAGTATCGGTTCCCATTTTGTTACGACCAAAATTCTAACCACCTCCATGAGGCCTAGCTAACTCCAGAGTGTAAGAGAAACTACTGTTTCACTGTTACTCTTCACCGGAAAACACTGTAGCTCGTAGGAAAATAAAAAGTCGTCGGAATCTGATGTAACCTTGATGGTTAGGCTCGGAAAAGCTTCGCGATCAGGCTGTCCTGAAGAAGGTCGGCCAAAAAATTGTCGGAAACAAGTACACGCGCCGGCGCATGGGACAGACGCGCCGCCTGAAACCCTTCTCTGACCAGCACGTGAGGGCGCGTGGAGGTGCCTTTTCCGGAGATTTTTTCTAGGGTTTGGTCGTCTCTGTCTTAGGGACCTTGTGGCGGTGTTGGATTTTGCACAACACCAAGGAAAATGCATTTTGTTGCGGACAGCCTCCTAAGTCGCCGGAAAATTGCACGGCGATCAGGTCTTTCTTCCCGGAAGTCGCTGGAATGGTGCACAACGATAAATTTCTCACTAATGCTCTGATACCATGTGAGAAAGCACGGGAGAAAATATTACTCCCTCTGTTCCAATTTATGTGAACCTGTTTGACTGGGCACCAAGTTTAAGAAAAAATAAAGACTTTTGGAATTTGTGGTCCTAAACAACTCAAAAAGGGGTCCACAGTATTTGTGTGGTTATAAAAGCTTTTCACTAAGGGTAGAATTGGGAATTTAAGTTAAATTGTTTCCAAACTTAGAAAGGGTTCATTCTTTTTGGAACGGACAAAAAAGGAAATAGGTTCACATAAATTGCAACGGAGGGAGTATTAATTATCTAAAGTGTTGTACAACGCCCTATTTATATAGAGTGATTACATAATAATAGGTATATACTTTCCGACGTGGGACACTATACTTGACTAACTACTTAACAACTTCCAAGAGTTCTAGCTTGTTTGGGGTTTCATAATCTATTTATAGGACAATTATGTACTTTGTTTGTAACAACACTATGATGAATAGATACTGTTAATTTCCTTACCATATCATCTGTATTTTCTCTCGTTCTTATCTCTTTTTCCCCTTTCTCATTTCTTTCACTTGTCCTCCTCCCTTCCCCTTTCTTGGTGATACATTAATACGGGTATCGGAACTCGAGCTTTAGTTCCTTACACTGTATCGCACTCATAAAACCTATCGAAAGAAAAACTATTCAGAATTTCTACCAAACGAAAAGTTATCCCATATCTATCTCCCAAAGTCTCAATGCATTTCCTCTTTATATACAAATGCGGAACAGGAAATAAATGTTTAGTGTTAGACTTGCCATTGGTTGCGGGATATGTTTGTTGTGTTGAATTGGTGGTTTGTACTGGTACCATATTTAATGAATGGAAGAATCAACCACCTCATGGTACTGTCGGGACTAAAACGGATGAGTTTCTTTCCATTACTGCTAAGCTTCGAGAGTTGTAATAGTCTCACTCAACTGAGGGACAGTGAAGTAGTTGAAAAATCCAGCACTATTACTACCTTATTGTTGATATAGTTAATGATAGGGTTATATCAATATTTAAGAGATAATATTATCTTATAGTTAGACATAGAGTTTTAATAATTTTAGGAGTTGTAACGATTGAGAAAAGGATTTTTATAATTTTAAAAGTTGTAGCATGTGAGGGTTCCCTAATTTATAAATAGGGCCCTTATGTACTTTGCTTGGAACGACACTTGATGAATAAATATTGTTGATAAAAAAAAATATCTCTCATTCCCTTTTCCTCTTTCTATTCTTTCTTTTTCTCTTATTCATCACACTCAATTCTCTCTCCTTTTAGCACTGCATCAGAAAGTTTCTGAAGTCTATAAAACTGTTGATTGCCTATCCAATGTAATAATATTCCTTTAGTAAGAAAACTGTCTTTTAACATATGCACCTTCTTAAATCTTACTGGACAAGCAAAATTCTGAAGTTGAATTTCTTGCAGGTTCTCCTAGTAAACCAAAGACTGGTCTCGTAGTTGGTATTGCTGGTGGATTTCTTGGAATTCTCCTTCTTGGAGGATCTGTGTTATTGTTCTGGAGGAGAAGGCACAAAGGCTATAGGCGTGAAATCTTTGTTGACGTTGTAGGTTTGTGTCACTTGCTTTTGACAATAATTTCATCGGTATAATATACTTGTTATCTGCTAAAAATAGAAGGGTATTGTGGCCATGCATTGTTATATCTTGTAATTCCATCTTAAGTTAGTGAGCTTAGTTCTTATCCACCAGTACTTTAGTTTTGATCTACCTTCAAGGTGGTGTGGCTCCTTTGAATAAATTATGATTATATCTTGTGTTTTATTTGGCGGAATCAGGTGAGGTTGATCGACGAATTCCATTTGGTCAATTGAGGAGATTTTCATGGAGGGAATTGCAGCTTGCTACTGATAACTTTAGTGAAAAGAATGTTCTTGGACAAGGAGGTTTTGGCAAGGTCTATAAAGGAGTGCTCAATGACGGCACTAAAGTTGCCGTGAAACGATTAACTGATTATGAGAGCCCTGGGGGAGATGCTGCATTCCAGCGAGAAGTTGAGATGATAAGCGTGGCTGTTCATAGGAACCTCTTACGGCTTATAGGGTTTTGCACCACACCGACTGAACGGCTGCTAGTATATCCATATATGCAGAATCTAAGTGTTGCTTATCGTCTACGAGGTATGTCCCTTCTGAGTAGTGCTTAATTGTTAGTCACCGTACTTTTGTAATGTCCTGAATAGTACATTTTCCCTAGCTTTGCCTATTTCATCTCAGTTATTACATTCTTTATTTCAGTAGTCTTACTTGTCCTGCAGCACAAATTTTGTTTTTGTCAGCTGGGTTGTAAGCAGTCGTGCACCATTTTCTTCCTCTCAAGCTTTGAAAAGAAGGCGTGCTTTTGTCCTTGTTACGGTTTAAACTGACTATTAAAGTAATTTAGAATTGCTGATTCTAGTGAATGACTTGACAAGGCATCAAGTATAAGTGGCATGCTTAATGGGCAGAAGCATCTGCTCTTATAGTTTGCATTTTCATATTTGAAAAAAAAGAATCTTTCTCTTTAGACTCTGGAAAAAGTGTTGGAAGTCTAGTGCCTTAGGTTGCATTACCATGAGTACAATTTGCATGCTTCCTTTTTCCCAGTGAAAGGTAGGGAAAGACAGGTTCCGATCAGATGAGTTTACTGCATTGGCATTGTAGAAGCACTTCTGATATTCATTAAAGGAGTTGAGATTTTGGACATTTCAATTTTCTTTAGTCTTCAAGCTCAATAGTCGAATAGACCTCATCAATGGGACTTAATAGTATAAATTGATATCCGAGTTTATAAATTGATTCTTGTGCATTCTCTCCACCAGAAAGAGATTTGCTGCGTCAATTGATTTTCCCTATGGAAGTTAGTTTTTTAAATCCTTGTGTGAACTGAGAGGAGTTTCATGAAGTTGTCAACCAAGCTTGAACTTTCAGTAGTTTTCTACTGAAGCGATGATTCTTAGTAGTTTTCAGCAGCTTCTTATTTTAGATTTTAATCACTCGCAGAACTTAAACCTGGGGAGTCTGTTTTGGTTTGGCCAACTAGGAAGCGTGTGGCACTGGGCACTGCACGTGGACTTGAATACCTACATGAACACTGTAATCCAAAGATTATTCACCGTGATGTTAAAGCAGCTAATGTGTTACTAGATGAGGACTTTGAAGCTGTAGTTGGTGATTTTGGCTTGGCAAAGTTAGTTGACGTTAAAAAAACCAATGTGACAACTCAAGTTCGTGGTACAATGGGCCATATAGCTCCTGAATACTTATCCACTGGCAAATCATCAGAAAAAACTGATGTTTTTGGCTATGGGATCATGCTTTTGGAGCTTGTTACTGGCCAACGTGCAATAGACTTTTCACGCCTAGAAGAAGAAGATGATGTTTTGTTGCTTGACCATGTGAGTGTACCGAACTCGATAATCTTCGTATCATTCCAAATGGATATCAAATTAGTGCTTTTTCTTTTTATATATTATCTCTGCTGAGTGCTGACCAAACTTCAGTTCTTTGTCTCTATATTCTGCTGGGACGGCTCATTTGTCCTTTGCAAGAGATCCTCCTGATGATAAACTTTCTTTTCTGTCTATTGGTGTAGATGTGATAATTTATTTTTCACTTCAAAGGGTCACAAGCAGTTCTCATTTTTCATGTTTCGGCAGGATAGAAATACTTTGAATGTCAACTAGGTCTTAATACTTGAGCCCTTTTGACTCTAGACGGAATTGAGAAGAAATAAAGGAGAAAAATGACTAGATGACAGAAAAAAATTAAAGTGTGGATGTCTCAGATGTGGACCTCGAGCCTCTCTTTTATAACTTTACATTATAGTCTTTCTTTAACTTTAGGCTTCATAGAACCTTATGTAGTATTAGTTGCTAAAAGTACAGCATGTATACCGTCTTGAAGGTCAAAAAACTGCAAAGGGAGAAAAGACTGGATGCTATTGTAGATCGGAACCTGAATAAGAACTACGACATGGATGATGTGGAGATGATGATGCAGGTAGCATTGCTGTGCACTCAGCCCTCACCAGAGGAACGTCCAGCAATGTCGGAGGTGGTAAGGATGCTGGAAGGAGAAGGGCTTGCCGAGAGATGGGAAGAGTGGCAGCACGTTGAAGTCAACCGTAGGCAAGAATATGAGAGACTTCAGAGACGATTTGATTGGGGAGAAGATTCGATCTTTAATCAGGATGCTGTTGAGTTATCTGGTGGAAGATGACAATTGAGTAATTTTGAACTAGTACACACGTCATTGCAACAATGGCCAGCAATCCATGTTTTTATTTTTTGAGTTGTTGATGCCATATTGTTTTTTCTTTTTTCATACTTTATATGTCTTCTCTTATTTAAGCATTCTTTTTCCTTTTATGCTTGGCTTTGTGCAGTAACATTCGAGTTTCAACATGTATTTTCCATTCTGTTTTTGTTTTCCTTCTCCCAGATGTTCCTGTGAAGTTTACAATCACTTTTTGTAACAGATATTGAGTTTTGCTTCATCTGAAGGTCTCAAGTGCTCTTGTTATACAACCATTCACCAATTTCATGTACATGGCTCTGTTTTGCTGGCTAGGAAAAATGCATCTTTCATATGACATCCTTGTGCGAGACTGGAAGTTGTGTTGATGTTTGCTTATGATGTGTCCTCCACTTGAACTTCATTAATGATCTTGCTTGTTCTACAGTCAAGGGCGACGTAGAGGCTTATGAACCGAATAACTCGTGTATCTTGTATGTCTAATAGGAAATTTGCTAAATATCTATAAATATTTGATTGTGAATTCAGTAATTGTTGTAGTATTAACTTGAGGTTATTGTAGGAATCCATAAACTTCAAATCCTGAATTTCCCTATCTATTCACAATTCCTCGTCTTGAGATAAAGGATGAGGCAATGTACTATCAGAATTATTGAGAATCTTCTCAGTAAGATTTATTGAACTAATTGCATGTATTTATGTATCAGTTAGTTACAATTCAGTTAGCTAGGTGATTAGCTGCAACTTCGCTGGCGGTCAATAATTAGTCACTAGGGTATTCTTTCTACATGATACATGCGTGTATATATGCTACATTATACAACTCTAATACAAGCAGTTAATTCATTTCCCGAATTCTCTCTCCTTCAACTCCGCACCTCAGAATTCGACGAAACTCATAAAATCCGACAACCCATTCAATTATGAGTTCAATCATACTAGTTTCACTCAAATCCAACTCCGAATCGATATTCAAAACTCAAAAGTTTGTTTTATGAAATTTTAGACAAAAATCTTCAAATTTCACTTTGAAATTATCAATCAAATGCCAAAAACGAAGATGGATTCATGAAATATAACCAAAATCGAGTATAGAACACTTACCCCAATCCAGATAGTGAAAATCGCCTCCAACATCGCCCAAATCCGAGCTCCCCAACTCAAAATATGACCAAATGAACAAACCCTCGATACTATATGCTTTTGCCAAGTTGTTCTGCCTCATTTCTTGTGCCAAACGATTCCTAAACTCATTTTTGATGCCTCCAATGGATTCCTTGTGAGATTTCAGTCAAGTTAGGCTTTTGAATCACTCCATTTGACTGTATAATAAAGGAGATATGTTAGTTTTAATATTTGAAAACAATGCAGATTTTTAAATACGAATTCAGTGGTAATTTCGTAATTAATCTGGAAAAAAATCTGGCAACCCAATTCTTAGTGAAATGACCATAAATTTCTCATACGATGTCGAACTTGATGATTCCAGTTGCTATGGTTCCAAAATTACTATACGGATTTAATGGTTTAGTCAAAACACAACCCAAAGGTCGTTTGCTCAATATGGTAACCTTTATGCTCAAATCGACACTGAAATAAAAAACAATCACCATACAACCCAAACTTATCCAAAACGCATCGGATTTCAACCAAACTTTGTGGACATGTCCAAGATCATCGTACAAACTTATTAGAATAATTAAAACTTGATTCCGAGTCCGTTTACCCAAAAGTCAAACCCTGATCAACTCTTCCAATTTAAAGTTTCTAAAATGAGAATCATCGTTCCAAATCAATCCCGAACCGCTCGAAAACCGAAACCATCTATACACCCAAGTCATAATACATAATATGAAGCTACTCAAAGTATCAAACCACCGAATGGAATACGAAAGCTCAAAACGATCGGTCGGGTCGTTACATTCTCCCACTACTAAAACATACGTTCGTCCTCGAACGTGCCAAGAGTCGTTTCAAAGCCATCAAATCACCATACACCCTCACCATACACACATCCATGGGTGATCCCATGTTACCCAATCCATATAAGCCCGACAACACCACCTAACAGAATATCATTACTTCAACCTTAGTCCATAAACCTTAAAACCCAAATCCCCAACATCCGAAACTCATTATATGACCCGATTCTTGCATCTACACACCGTATAACTCTGAACAAGCTGTATCAATCCATAACAATATCTCAAGACATAATCACATGATATACCACATAACTCAAATACTCATAGCAATAACTTGCGACCGCAATAGCTGCTCGATAACCAACCCGACACCGGTAACAAACCTCATATCAACTAAAATCTTGTTCTGAACCTTCGTACACTGCCAATGATGAAAGAAACATACAGAAACTCATAACCACCCATCAGATTAACAGGTCGTGGAGCTCTCTTGCCCGATAAGAACCATAGCCAAAATCTATGCCGACTAGTGACACAATTCTTGTAAACATACCTTAATCAAATCCGATGGCACTCATTTCTGGCCCAATAACCTCACTTCATCCAGTACAAGCTACTCGACCGACCTGTCACACAAATCCTACTTAGAGCCATATACCATACAATCCGTGCACCAACGAACAATACCACCATCCCGCCAGCTCAACAGATACCATCCTGCCACCTCAACAGATACCACCACGAAGCGCAGTGCTAGCAATCCACCACACAAGGGGAAACATAACACACGAAATAAACACAAAGGATCATATCCTAGCATAATGCCGCTGCGATGCATGACCTAATCCGAACACCGGTTCATATGAAATACCTCAAGCCACAATGCTCAAAATCAATTCGACATCAAGTTCACGAAGTGCATGACCATAACCACGGAGAAGCGAATAACACAAAATACCACATCCTGAAAAGACCATAACTAAGGCGCAATCAACCATTCAACACCCCAATAACCATTTCGCTCGATTTTCGCTACAAGGCATAAATAGAACTGCATTGCGTGTGCATAAAACCAACAAATCACAACCCCTCATAGTATAGAAGAGTAACATATAGAACATATTAGAACACAAACAGCCTCAACTCTAACTGAATGCCACACCCCTCAACACTAACAGTTCTGAGTCAACAAATTCGATCCGGTATAGAATACATATCCTCATTGGGCCTACCAATGAGCCCCCCAAATCAACCTTGGTCATCCACAAATAGATAAATAACCCTATGAAAGTCCACAATGACCTAACCATAACACATACTACCAGCTGGCTAACTTTGGCCACATCTTCACTGTCCACAACCATGAAACAATCTGGTTCTGAGAACTCCTAGTCTCCAAATCCATAGAACATACGAATCACCATAGCAGATACCAACTCTACCACTCGAATGACTAACACATCTCTTATACATAAATATCCCCACGAGAAATACTTCTATAATTCTTCCATGCCACATAACAAAATCTGAACATCAGCAATCGGTCGGCCAAGCGAGAACCGCAATAACAATTAAGCATCCATAAGTCAAAACACAATGTGCCTTCTAAAATGCGCACTCTTCTCAGGCAATACCCGATAGTAATAACATTTATCTAGTCATCTGATGACCTTTCCATGTTGTCTAAGAATTCATGACCTTCCCTTCAAAACTGAACCGTGACCTTGCACATGCAAATCTCAATCCCACGCAACACACCAGATTTATCATGCCATCATATGAAAAGCACGAGAATCTCATAATCAACTCTGAGTCACCTGCAGAATACATACTCCCTCAGTCAGAAACCTTCCATTTGATCCCATCCAGTAGAAAATCATAATACACAATATGCTCATCATGTCGGTGGGAAATATCCATCTCAAACCGTGGTAGAAACCATCGAGAACCTTTCGAAACCCATTTGCACATAACCAAACCATCAGAACTGAATCTCTCTAACTCAACCAAGCCACGCAGTTGCCAAACCCAAGAGTATTACCACAAAACACATATAGAGACTCACCACATCATAAGTACCCAAAGAACCAATCATATCCATTACCGTGCTGATCCAACCTACTACTAAGTTGTCCTATTTCTACGAGTTCCTTACAAATTACCCTCAAGTTGACACTTCTCCTTGCCAGAACACCACGATCCATACCCAAAGCTCACCACAAGAGATTCTAGCATAAAATTACACCTCCTTAAGGCCCATAAGTCGATGTATTCCCTCTTAAGCACCCAAAAAGTACCACAACAGAGACACCCGCTCTGAAGAGACCTTTTGTGAATCTAAAGCCGTTTCCTTCACCTTCCTGATACTATCAGGAATGTAGAATCCATAATGATGTAGAAATACCGCGAGTCTCGACACCATTCAATGTAAATCTTAGATACTAGCCATATACAAATCCGAAAAATTGTCAATTGCTACATATAAATCTTGAATCCATTAGAACCTTCTCGAGAGTCATCCACTCTGCTCAAATCTCAATTGCACCGCCCGAATAGGCCGAACGACCTGTGCCCCATTAGCACGACAACACCCAAAGAAGTAACCCCGCCTTAATGCAATCGAGCAAATTCCTACCCCATGCGCACTACATCCTTCACGAATAACAACTCAATCATTCCATGATTCTCATATATCTATAAAGTGTAATACACTATGCATCTAGAAATTTTCTTGCTTAAGTCATCCTCAAAACCAGCATCTGCAAGTCGTAACCGATCCATAAGTATGCCTCAGACCAAAACCAATATAACACGTAACCATGCAATCAAATTATCGATAAAAGACTCCCCCACTTGGTGTTGATACCCGATTTTTCCCTGTATATTCTATATATGCAAAATACTTTCAAAATAGCATACATATGCATATATAAGTATTCCCAAATATTTTATGTATTTTTTCTAATTTTTAAAGGATTTTTCTAATCAATTTATTGTCCTATTTTGGCAGTACAAAAACCAATAATTGTTCCTCAAATTATTATTTTGGTGAATAACTTATTTTATTCTCACATTTATACCAAAATATAGCTAAGGTAATTCTTGCGCATTTTTACAAATTTATTTAGTATTTTAAAGCTAAATTGCATACAATTGCAATTTTAGCCTATTTTGAGATTTAATAGCATTTTATAATTATGAAATTGGTTCCAGTATTTTTATTTTTATATTTATATATTATTAATTAATTTGGTACCTTTAATTTGTTTCCAGAAATTATCTTACTTTTTTTTATAAAATAAAAAGCGAAAAAACTAGCTATTTAAATACTAGCCCAATTTTCATTTCAATTATAGCCCAAATCAAC